TGAATTTGTCTGATTATATTAAGTGTTTTTAAAAATTGGTCATTTGCATAAACTTGCAAATCATTGAAAAGTTACATTTAATTTCTATGCTAATTTACTTTTTTTCAAATTAATAGTTCATTGGAGATATTACAACTTAAGTAACAGCAACTGTCAGGTTCGATAATGCAGAGTAGAAGTAAAACTAAGTAACAAGACAGCCACCACTATCCTCTCCACTTTGCTCTGATAGGTTGTTGCTACTTTATTATGTCCAGATATACAATATTACGATCCAAGCTAACTATGTATGCTCAGGTTATTATTCTCAAAAAAATGATATCTGATATCCTATGGTTATTCTTCCTATCTTCCTATTCTATCCTATGATATTCTTCAAAAAATATATCCCGAAAAACGATTGTCAAGAAAAAAAATCTGTTGGACTTCTTGTCCTTCCAAGTCCTCCAAATGTAATAAATTAAATAATAGAAGGATGCTGTAGATTCTTCCTATTTACTCGCATCATTTTCATTCTATACTCTGGAGCTCTGTGGGAACAATACAACTTGAGGCTCATAGAACTTCACTCCTTCCAAAGATGGCCATTATAAGCACATTAAAGAAATACCACATAAATCTCTATGTAAGATTGTAATACAGGGTCAGTCCTTTTAAGGACAGACAAATTGAACACCTCAGTTCACTAAAAGCACAAAAATTCCTCCTACAGTAAATCTACTACTGTAGAATAGCCTATAGATTTCAGTTTTTAGTTTTAATACTTTTCAAAAAAAAAAAAAAAAAAAAAAAAACCCAAACAAACCAAGTAAGAACTGCAAGAATATAGAAGCATACATGACTTCACACATGGATAACTGACAAAGAAAATGCTTTTATGAAGCTTTGTTGCACCTTCTATTATATAAGCAATGCAACTTTCTAAAACTTGTCCCAGAAGGACTGAACCTCTTATAACTTAACGGTGATAAAAGATGCTGGAGCCCATAAAACATCTACAGTTAAAGCTCTTTTGATCTAATGGAGATGTCTCCAGTGATGCTATGATAATTTCAGTAAGAGTCTCTTTAATCCATTTGAAAAGGATGAGCATTACTGTGAACTTTGCTTTGCAGGAGACAGCAGGAAGAACTTGACAAACTGTTCTTAAAGGGTTTGATATCCAAAGCCTACCAAGCATTTTTTTTCTGTCAAAGCCAACATGACTAAAACATTTCAGAGTGGCTTTGGGCTTTCTTTAACTGTAGATTGTTTTATTTAAGTCACAAAACATAGAAATAAGTAATTAGTATATCCCTATCTACACAGTAAAGGTAACACTTGCTACTACTAACACTGCAACTTGATTACAATAAATACGGTATTAAAGTCATTGCATAGTTAAGCACTCAAGAGTATTAGTATTATGAAAAGTGAATTAATAAGGGATGCTGAACTTTTGACCTCCATGTGGGGCCAAAGAAAGAAGTCAGTTCATCACATTAGTTGGGGATGTTTCAGGTTTTTTTGAGTTGCAACCGCAGCTTTGAAGTGGACTGTAAAGTAAGCTTTAAAAAGAAACTTTTCCTTCTAAAATAGATAGAATTCTCAATTTCTCCTCTAAAACAATCGCTCTCCAAAATCCAAAAGCACAGCAAACCACTTTGAAGACTAACAATTTAATATAACATAAAGGTGACTGAATGAATAACGGAACGTGTACACAACTCTGATCTAATAAGCACTGTATCTTCAAAGGTTCAGGTACAACATAAGTTAATAAGAAATTACTCTGATGAGTTGGATTACAGAAAACTCTCCAAAAAAATGCTCATTTCAAACAGGACAACTCTTAGCAGTTCTAAATAGTTACAATCATCAGCTACTATTTGCAACTGAAAATGCCTAGAACTAAGTGTGAAAGTGTTTCACAAAAACAAAAACAAACAAAGATCACTAGACAGTCAAGGTGTTTGCTGTTTTATTTATTATTACTCTGTGTACAGTAATATGGTAACAGCAAGATATGGCTTCATGTTGTTTTCTTCATTAAAAAAATGCTTTTATCTCTATTTTATTTTTAATTGTTAGTTGTTACACTTGTTTGGACAAGGACAATGCCTAACAACATAAGATTTTAACCTAGATTAACCCAACCTACCACCGCTGTAGAAGACCTTTCCGCTTCTCCAGCAAGATTTGGATTGCAAACTAAACAACAAAAATAAAATAAACAGACAAAAATATCCAGGCTTTTCAGTAGAGGTAGAATTCCACTTCCTTCATATTCTGTACTGCTGACTAACATTGCCTGCATTTTCTCTTACCCACCTTGACCCATTCACCAAGAGACTTTCATTCTTCTCTTGCCCCCATGTATCATCCTTAACAAATTAATTAGAATATAATTCTAAAAAGAAGTAATAGTAATTCATCTTCTTGCCACTTTATTCTCCCTGTACTCTCCAGTTATGATGCACTTATGATTTATAAATAAAAAATAAGGTAATCTGCCTGGTATTCATTTAAAATGGCATAGCATGGTATTCCATAACTCATCCTATTGCATTCAAACATTTAAAAAAAAATTCCAAACCAGAGCCAGAAGGCTTTTATTTCTTTCCCACAAAAGCTTTGTGGATGTGATTCTCTCTCTCTCTTCAACACATACACTGCATTTGGATCTCGTAAGTTTTCCTATTTTATATATATATATATATATATATATATATATTAAAATACGGATTTTTACTTTTCTACACATACAGCTGCTTGCATCACAAATATGGAATACAGTTACACTTCCCTTAATAATTTAGTATTCACCATAACCTACCGATGACTCAAAACTTATCTAGAATTCACATGAATGTCACAGCTACTTCCACGAGTTCCAATGTAATCCAGCAATGGTACCATGACCTGAAGCATATAGCTAATTATCTGAGGAATCAGAGCTCCTTATCCCAGCACTTCTATTCCAAATCAATGCAGTAAAACTTTACAAAATGAAAAAAACAAATAACTCCACATATCCTAACCATAAAACATAAGAGCAATTTCTTTTTTTCTCATTTTTCTTTTTCATCTGTGCTCAATTCATTCATGTGATGAAATTGGGGGAAAAAGAAAAGACTGATGTGAACTTATGATATGTACCATTCCTGAAGGCATTCAAGGCCAGGTTGGATGGGATCCTGAGCAGCCTGATCCAGTGGGTGGCAACGTAGCCCCGGGTAGGGGGCTGGAGCTACATCCTTAAGGTTCTCTCCAACCTAAGCCATTATATGATTCTAGATCAGAAAACAGGTTTGTCTTCCTCCTACATCCTCAGAGATCAAAATATCATAAAAATACAAATCTCCATCTCATGCTTATTTAAAAAAATAACTATTAATACCAAGCCTAAATTCCTTTCAACGGTAAAGATTCTCCAAATTCAGCACAATTTTATTTGAAACTACCAAAGACCGGAGTTAAGTCTGCATACGCACCATCAGTCATTGAACAGAGCTGCTTGCTGCATCAATTATTGCAGAAGTAGTTGTATGCTCAAGCAGATATTATTACTCTTAACAGGCTGCTCTGTTCATAGAAACCACGTGAAGAGAGCTGCAGCATGAACAATTGATTACTGTCTGGTTTTAAAACTGTTTCTAAGTTCAGTAAATATTAACCCAAGTTAAACATGTGGGGTTGGTCCCATCTCATACTCATCCTGGCTCTGGGGACATAATGACTTACTCAGGTTGCACATTACACATGCAGATCTCAGAAGAGTTCTTTATACCATAATGAAGTACTTGAACTGCCACCAAATTTGTTTGAAACAACATAAATCTAAACCTAATGGGTTAATTTATGTTGCTGGTTTTTTTTTTTTTTTTTTTTTTAAACTCTAGACTGTCCAGATTTCAGTGAAATTTTTCTCACATACTTAGTTTTAAAGATCCAGGTTGAGGAAAAGATAATGTAATGGTTTGTTTATGGTTTTTATTTTATAAATGCATGATTTCGTGTACCAGCAAAATTCATCATAGGGCAAGATCTTCAACTACTATCTTGTTTTTTAGGTGTTTATTTGCTTTAAGATAATATTCATGCCATGTATGACTAAGATTCCAGAACCATGCATTGACAAAGGGATTATTTACTTCAAGCACCAGACAGTTTCACTTCAGCGGAAAGAATACACTCAATGCAAGAACGATCATGTAAAGTGAAATAGATTATTATACTTGATAGTTATATATTTTAAAAGACTTGTTTGCTCTTAAGTTCTATAGAATTTGGAGCTAAATCTATAATTGTCTCTAAACAATAAGCAACATACTTTTACAATCACATTTGCTGTGTTGTTTTAGCACTACGTTTAAGCAGTACAGTACCAAAGTAGCTGATAAGCCCTATTTAACGACAGCTACACTACGTTCAAGTATATTTTTCTTACAACAACGTGAATGTTGTATTATAAATACTAAGTTTATAACGCTCAATTACACAGGAAGTTTGTCATAGCACATAAATATGCACAGTAAATTATGATGTTAATTGTTCATTTATACAAATACTAGTCAACAGCACTGAAGAGTACATAGAGGCATCTTGTAACATAATTTCAAGATGCATCTTGAAGAATACCACAAGCACAGGAACAAAACTAAATACATCTTTTCCAAAAACAACAAAAACTCTAGCTGTCTTCAAATCCAGCAACTTCCCAGCAGATGCTCTGAACTCAGAAGGATTTAATGAGTTTCGAACCAGAGAACAGTGAACTAAAAACACATTAGTACTGAGGAGAGTGCCAGGCCAGTGATTGAGTTCTAGTAGTTAAGAGGAGATTTACATTATATTTTAAGAAGCATAAAACAAATTGATTACCACATTTGAATACAGAGAACACGTCAAGTTCCTACTTCAATGATGTAACAAAGTAATTAAAAATTTTCATTAACATTTATAAAACTACACATGCCACAAGAAAACAGCTTCAAAAATATTATATTTTCTTACCTGCATCCATGAAGCAGTGATGCTGTGCTGTTCTGAGTGCTGCTGTCTATACGATATGACAACATTAAGGGACCAAAGGAAATTCCACACGCTGCTGACACAAAATCTACTGAGGGGCAAAAAGAAAAGAAAAAAAAAAGCCTTCTAGCACCTGTCATGAATCTTCTTTGATACTCCTAAATTGAGAGTTCTGACTTTTTATTTCCATATATTTTCACCCAATTCCATTGATGCTTAACATTACTAACAAGTCTCTTGTGTTTGAATTGCCCTTTTTTATTCTGGTAATAACCTCCCATACTCTAACAACTAAGGGAAAAGGCCACACCTGCTTTCTACTTGGAAATACAGAGCATCACAGGTGGGGGCATTTTACTTCAACTCACTGTTATTGATTGGAACATGCAAAATGGCTGATTTCACATGCTGCCTCCACGATCTCAGAGCAAGCCTCATCCCTGTTTCACTTTAATTCACTGCACAATAAAGCAAACCAGTGATGACTGCCTCAAATATAAAGAAAAAAACCCACACAAGTAGACCCTTTTCCTCCTGTTCTGAAGTTACTTCATTTTCACCACCACACCACAGGACTTTCCTTTGAGGAGAGAAAAAGTGGTACGGCAGTTGCAGCAGGAAACCTAGCCATCTTCTTCTGCTCTGTTTCTCACAGGTCCCACCATGCTCAGCGCTGCTGGCAGCAGACTGTGGCCCCTTAGGTACATCCCCACTTCTTTGCCACAGCAATAGTTGCAGCAGGACTGTCTCCTCTCTGACACACAGCAGTTGTGGCAATGGTAATGCTACCCCATGCTCTGGCACAGCATTGGTTGCAGCAGCACCCCCCTCAGGACTTTTCCCACTCTTCTATCAGTTCTCTCAGGAGGGAATTGTCCCTTCCACGCGGAAAGCACTCACTGTGATGGCCTGAGGTACAGAATGCTAAATGCCTCCTTGGTGGGTAACTTTTACATGAATTGTCTTTTTTCTCCTGGTCCTTGCTGCTGCAGGTCCAGCTGCAACCAATACACAGCCAATATCTCAGCTGTGCAACCCCCTGCACTCAGCAGCACATACCCAGCCCAGCTCACCCTACCACAGCTATGCCCAGACAGCTGGGACAACACTAACGAGGCCTTCCCACCAAGGTCAAATCCTTGCCTCCTAATTTGCAATACAACCAGGACACAATGGGAATAGAAACAAATGCAATTGCTCAAAGTAGAGAGGCTTAGAGTAGCGTTTCAACACAGCTCCTTTCTCTACAGATTCATTCTTAAGATGTATGATAAAAAAAATATCTGTAGTATGGAAACAGACTGATAACTCAGGAAAATGAAAAGGTCACTAATTCTGAACTCATCCTTGGAGCTAAACTATTTTACATACACCCCGTATATTATGAGTAGCCTGTATTCACACTAAATTGTGTTTTATTGTGAGTAATCTCTTGTTCTTGGCTAATATAATTGTGGTTCATCACTAGCGGAATATAAAGTCATAATGCTTTATCACTTCAGTGCCATCACTCTCTTGTAATTCATCCTGACGTGTAATAGGACTGCATGCCACTGTATGATTTGTTTTCTCTATTGTTTGTATTTCAGTAGAGCACAATGAACACTTGTAGTTGAGAACTGGAAGATTTTCAAGGACTTGAGTCAGATATGCTTTCATGAATGAGGCTACGCTCTCAGCTATATGAAGTGAGAGCTATTTAAAGCCATATATCTACTGAGAATCTATATCCTATTTGACAATGACAGAAAAAAATCATTATTTGTTTTTTATTTTTATTTTCCACTTCAAATTAGCATTTTTACATTTATACTACTAAGAGTAGACTTCAGAACCATGACAATGATGGACACCATGACTTTCAGAAAGTCAAAATAACTGAGATGCCTGAAGGGAAATTTTTTTAAAGAATGTTTCTTCATTTTCCACAAAACATACCTTGCAAGTTCTAACAAACAAGAACAATTTCACTATACTGTAAAGTCCAAATTATCTGAAAATCAGTTATTATCATATTTGATTTGGTTAAGGAAGATTTCTAAATACAATGAGTTCAAGGGTAAAGAAGTGCTCAATTCACATGACTTAAATCAAAATGAGATTGGAGAGTTTTACTGATTTATCAACAATACATTACTAAAAAAGAGCACAGATCAAAACTGTAGACATGAATATAAGGCTTACCTGCACTAAATCATTCAGACCTGAGTATTTTTGTAGCTTAATATATCAAGTGCAAATAATTTATAATTAACTCCTTATTGATTATAAACATACATCACTAGAAGTAAAAGCACTTCGTAAATAAAATATGCTTTTAAAAAAAGAATAGCATTAAGAAACTAGCAAAGAGCTGCCTTCCTGGCACTTACTTCATACCAGCTTTGTTTTTTACTGAGAGTAGAACTACCCCACTCTAAACAGATTCTTAAAAGAAATAAAATTCATTAGTCTTGAACCTATGTCATCTGTGTTGTTAAACAAATCTTTTTCCAGAAACATTATTTCTGTAAAAGGATTTTCCAATCCATTAGACCTAAATGGATTGTATTTATGTGCTGTCCTGCTTGGGAAGAAGCAAAATCACTTCTGACAGGTTCTTGGGTATACCAGGTAAAGTATTTCCCAGGTAGGCAAAAAAATCGTATACAAGAATAGAACTCACCTAACTGGGGAAAAGGCTCTTCAGCTATGCAGCACTCCTTTGCAAGAAGCAGTCTATATTAAAGAGATGCCCCCCCTTCAGAGGATGGCCCTTTTATGAGCCCAGAGTGGCTGCACACTGGGTCTACTCCTGCTGATCACCTGGGGAGCACAGATGCAAACAATCTGCCTGTGCTCCCCATGCCAGCCACACCCCTTCATCAGGTGCTCAATCATCAGCTCAAATCCCAAACTAACAGTTCCCCCACAGCTGTATAATATATGAATTATAGAATATTCATGCATGAAAGACAACAATCATTTTTGTGAGGGATATTGATCGATAACTCACCTTAGAACACAGAGTTGAACTGAAAGGTCCTTTTTGTTTCTTTAGTCTATTTTGATAGAGTAAAAAAAAAATAAATCACCAACCATTCTTAGGAAGTAATTGTACTAAAGTTACACTTGGGCATGTAATACATTAATCACTAGAAGAGAAAGTAGAGGGAAAAATGTTGTAAGCAGCAGCTGAACAATTGATGAAGTTATATTTTGAGCCAGATCCTGCAACTGGGGAATTAAGTTTTACAAAAATAGTACAGTAGAATACTGTATCTTGATCAACCTCACTTCTTTACAAAATGCAGAGGCAAAGCCAGATTTATTGTATGTTGTCTTCTTCAAAGGTACTAATTAGAATCCACGTTTTCCAATTAGAAGTAAGTGTTATGGAAAAAAAATCTTAGTAAATTTTACTCTCATTTGACTTTGGACTGAATTTGGATTGAAATATTATAAGCTACATAGAATGTAACAAAGTCTATTGTGTATGCATAAAAGGTTTGACAGAAAAAAAAAAAAATACTTTAAAGTAGTGTAAAATGCAAAATTAAAGTACCTGATTTTACTGATGCCATAACAGCAATGGCATTGTCAACAATGTAATTAAGAACATATGAATCTAGAAAGCTCCTGAATCCAGCTGAAAGGCCTCTGTAGAATTCTGTCTCTTTTCAAAACAGCCTGTTCTAAACTTACCTAATTACTGCTGTAAATAAACAGAGCAAACATTTTTTTAGCATAATTATTTTTACTGTGTTTTATAAAATTAGAACATTATGATAAAGGAATACAATTGGTTCATTTGCTCAACTATGCAATATTTGTAGACAGTTTACAATAACTTCTAACTTATCAAGGAGAAATAAAAAAAAAAAATTGATCAGCAAGCATTTTCATAATTGTCACTGAATATTATGCATTTGTTATTCCATACACTGATAATGTTGTCAGGAAAGACTTGCACAGAATGTCTATGATGTACTTTTGTTCCAGTATTCAATCATAATCAACAATTCTTGAAGTAGTAATAGTTCAAAATGGCCCCAAGGCTCCATAAAACAAGAACTGCTGAGCTTTCTGACCTTGATCTTTAGAAAAGTTAAAAAGTTTTAAGACTGGATGTGAATGTTGATAAGATGCCATTTAACACTTTTAGAATTTTGAAATATAATGTGCAATAATTTCAATACAAGCATTTAATAGCTTTTTAACTTCCATTCTAGCACTTGGTGTTTCTAATTAGATATAATTTGATCTAGTTGATGGTACACATTCCCTAAAAAAAGCCCTACAAGATAAATGCTGCAGGAAATGTAGTATGACCTTTTCATTACTGCCTTGTCAGGACATCTGTCAATAGATTTTTCTTGTGTTCCAAAGCAGTCAGACATTTCAATGAACTGCAGTAAGGTAAAGCTTGCTCTTGGTAGGAAGCCAGACTATGCTACCCAGTAAAATTCATAATGTACTATAGTCAACAAGATATCAAGATACAAGGTATGTAATAAAAATGAATTTGTCTTTTGAAGTAGAAAAGGTCAACAATTTACTGCACTTCTGAAGGGAAAATATAAAAGAAAAGAAATAAATTGCATTTTCCACATCCCTGGTAACATTATCAGTGATTATACTCTAGAATGTATTACATAAATTTATTTCAGAAACCATTTAAATAAGCAATTTTGTAACACCGGCAATGAAAGGCAAATAAGAAATGCAGCTCAATATTTACAGAAGAATAGACAGAGGGAGATAGTTCTCTTGCAAAAGAAAAGATTGCGAAGATATTTCAAATTCTGGAGACAGTAATAGTTACGACAGCTTTTAGGAAGCTCCTAAAAACCATTCTATCTTCTCAACTTAACATGAATTCTTTCAGAGACAAAAGAGGCGTGCCAATCCAAAAAAACCTTTTTCAAATTCTAGTTATTATAACGGATACAGAAGTGACAAACTGAGCATGTTTTCTAATTCTCTAATTTCTTCGAGAGAAATGCCAAGTGTAAGGAAAGCAAAAGATACACGTCAGCAGTATTGACAGTTATCTCTGTCGGGAAAATTCCAGAGGCCTGTTAATCAAAATAATGATATTGAACAAGTTAAAACTTAACAGTAATCAAATACTGTAACAACAGAGCCTCAGACAAATATTTACTAACTCTGAGTAGTTATGCCTTCATTCTAAGCAATATACAACAGAAATATTTAGAACCTTCTTTAAACTTTTTTCCTGTTAATTAAACGTATTTGGACTACAGCCGTCTTTCTTTTCTCTGAGTGTTTCAATTCACTTGTAATATCTATTATATAGTTGACCTTCCGACCTTGTAATTGTTGGTATGTGCAAAGCCTGCTGAACCCAAATGAAGTCCCTTTGAATCTTTCCACATCTCATTGTACAACTGAGGCCTGAAATTGCATTCTGTGAAAAATAAGTTTACAGATTTCTTTTTCTTTCTTTCTTTTCTTTTTTTTTTCTTTTTCCTTTTTTTCTTTTTCTTTTCTTTTATTCTTTTTCTTTTTTCTTTTTTCTTTTTTTTCAACTAAAATTTTTATTTTTTTTAATTTTAATTCTTATTTTAGTGAAAATCTTACATTTTCAGAACTTACGGGTGGCTGCTGGGGTTCAAAACAATGTTCAGAACAGAGGCTGAAAAAAAGAAGTTTGACAGGATGTGGAAGAAGACACTGAGAACAAAAGCTGTCTCCAAGAGGCAGGAGCACAAGTCAACTGGGGAGCTTAATCTCCACTTGGCAATGACCCTGACTGGAGAAGCAGTGCATAAATAGAAGCAATTTGTGGCTCTGATTGGATGAGCACTTGCATGGGCAGTTTACTGCCTAGACACGAAGTGTTAAGTGTTCAGCTGACATGCTGGGGGGGGTGGAAAGTTACAAGAGGAAACTTAGAAATTTATATAAGGGATACTGGAACCTTATTATGGAATAAAGGATTTGGATTGTTCACATTTGCATCCGTGCTTCAGAAGCTGCAGGTGTCAGGACACGTTTAGCAGAAGGCAGACAGTTAGGGAAACACTGTGAGTCCAGCCCCACAATATCAATGCTATAGGACTGCCCTCAAATATATATGAATAAACACAGGTCATTATTGTAAAGAACAGTTGCAGAAGTCCTCATCCTTCTTTATCAGCACACTAGGGAAGAAGGCAACTAGAAAGAGTGCTTCCCAAGGTGATATTAAGGAACATTTTGGAAAGTCAATATGATGAATCAAGTACTTCTTATCTTGTATAGTTCCATATGATGTTTCTAATGCTTGCTGGCTCTCCAATGAGCCCTTTTTATCTTCCCCAAAGGGGAAGATAAAAATCCCAGGATCTTCACCCTGGGATCCATGCCTGCTTACAAGCCCAGTAGCCTGGTTCTTTGTCATTTCCTGGACTGGAGTCATGCTTTAGCATGTCTAGATTATATCATTTTCATAAACTTCTCATACAATGAGTCAAGCTGAATTTTCTAATGCATAGAAACTACCTACAGCAGCTAGTGACATGTATGTTTTAGAGCATGATATTCTGCAGATATCTGACAACAGAAATTGCTTTCAGTGAAGAAAGCAGAGACTCACATCTCAGCAGTTAAACCATTCAGAATTGCAAACTTTAACTTGAAACACTGGTGAGAGACCTCACAGTGAGAAAAAGATAACAGAGCAGCCATCTAAACCTGGCTTGCTATTGACACAAATTGACTCACAGGTACCACAAACTGCCCAGGCCAAGCAGAACACCCTCCCATTGAATACCACAAGCTGCTCACATCCAGCTAGAGGAGTAGTGGATCGTGCAGCACTGGGGATCCAAACCTAGGAAAGTGTATGTGACCATGGGACCCTCAAATAGCATTCACATGCTGTTGTGCACATGACAGGAACATACGAGGAGCAGTTATAAAAAGTTTAGAAAATTGTAGGTCTTCATTAGCATTTTGCGAGTGCAATTGTAGCTACGTTGAATGATTACCTATTTGATATCCAGTTAATAACATGGTGCCACCTAGCTGCTTCAACACTGATCTGGTATAAACCACGAGTTGATCAGTTTTCCCTGTGACAGCCTAACTCTCAGTTGTATTATACACAGAGCTCCATTCTGGGCATGTGCAAGTTTTCCATGTCCTGTAACTGTAATTCTCCAGGATCAAACTTTCCCATCAGGACATTTTTCATACCTAGAAGTGTTATGGTAGTTTTGGAAGTCATTTTCAATTTACTTAGAAGTGTACTGTTTGGCAGAATCAATGTCTGTTCCTATTTATCTTCAAGAGAATGTTTTGTTTCTAAACAAATTATATCCCAAAGGACTAAAAGCTGTATTTTAGCAGACTCTAAATGTTTCTGTTCTAAATAACTGTAAATGTGCTGGTTGCTTTTATAGCGTATGATCTTACTTCTGTGCAAAGATCCAAGAAAGACGCTTTGGATATACAATTTCCTTGGGGAAACAAATCCATTGTTTGAATTAAATTACACTGAGATTTCTATGCAAAGCTAACACATTGCAACTTTAGTGTTAGTCTGATAGTACCTTGCTGTTCTTGCCACACGCTATGTTTACCCTCATCAAACTGGGGCTCAACTGAGAGTAGGTTTCAGTGTTCCAAACAGACTGGCAGGTGGTTGAGTCTAGAAGACTTTTTACAAATGTCCCTGAGGTCAAGTACCAGGAGTTAGCACTCCATCCCAGGAAGAATATTATACTTATCATCAATAAATGCTTTTGGAAATGTGGCATAAAGGTTGGTGTTTCTGGCAGCCACATTATTTGAAAAACAATGCACTACTTCTAGAACTGTTTCGGCAAAAATAACATCTTCTTTGCCTGACCTAAATGCAGGATTGTTCCAAGTGATTCTTTGCTTGTTGTTTTTTTCCTCAGATATATTTGTTCAAAAAGCATGCCTCTTCTGCAATCTTAAAACATGGGACTGACCGAATCCAAATTCCATTTGGTTTCTTTACCTATACAAAAATGTTGTGCATCTTTCTGATCGGATAAGACAACTATGAAGCAACTTTCCATTAAAGCATATCTCCCCTTCATAAGCACCACAACTTACTTGTTCAGTGCACCCTAGCAGTTTACTTCCTTACAGACTGTAAACATTTTATTAATGGACCATAACAATGTATCTATCCTGCTCTAACAGAAGGTCACACTTCTTCTCTCTCTAGCAGTGTGTTTAATCTTGTGAGAATCAAGCCACTTCTTCATTCTCCTGAACCACAACTCATTTTTGTAGACATGCTTCTTACTCCCAAGTCAGAATCACCAAGATTAGAACAGAAACATAATTATGGTTTTTACAGGTGTGTGCATTCAGGTCCGTAGAGTCTCTGCTGGATTCTACAATGAAAACTCATCAGTCAGCTAACTAATCCTCTCACAAACCATCCCTATTGGATTCCCTATCTCTAATCTTTTCCTAATTTCACAAGAGTTTCCTTCTTGGCTTCTCAGACCATCATTTATCTAATAGATCACAATGCTCTGATTTGCTCAGACCATGGAGTGCTCAATAAGGTTTTTCTCCCCAGAGACTGAACTGCCACTCACTATCTGAATTTTCTGTGGGATGACAGCGTTACAGATTCTCACCAGTCCTTTTAAAGGTAAGAAAGTTTAAAAGATCACAGGTTTGAACATTGTATTTAAACTAGGAAATACTCTCAATTGCAGTGCCTCAGTAGTGTTAGAGAACTTTAAAGGAGTAACATGAGCTAGAGTAACTCATTTCATATTTAGGTTGAACCCTTTCTGTTCTCCAACTTAAGATTCATTCAGTACATACTGGAAATTAGACTAACTTGTATAGGCATACCTAATCTAGTAACCACCTGGTAGCATGCACTCTGATAAAACAAAATTTTTTGTGTCTTAATTCCAAAAATTCTTGAAACAACCAGTGTTTGCTGAGTACTGCTGGAGGAGCACTGTTGTTCTCAACTTTAGACTAGCCAAGGAGACTATTTGCTTTCGGTGTAAAAGTCGTAACTTAAAATACTTTTGGTCCTTGGAATCACTAGGTGTGGTCATCAAATCCTTTCTGTTCAGTTAGAACAAGTCACTTTGTGATAAACAGAATTTCTTAACACATCTAAGTACCTGAGCTGAGGATTTAAGACACTGTATTGAATCAGATAAAGCACAAACCGCAATTTCAGCAATTTTCTAACCAGTACATTAAATTGTTCTGTATATGTTATGTCTAAAACTGGCAAAGATTATTTTTGTTTACTGATATCTCCCTTGAACAGAGGACTAATTTTCTAGCCAGACCTGCTCCTAAACTAGGGATTTTTCATATGAGTGGGAATGCATGGATCAGGACTTCCCTGATGTATACCGCTATAATGGAGTAACGTTAGCTTAACATCATGTCTTGCAAAACAAGTCTAACTATCCATACAATCCATCTACCCATTACAAAGTTTCTGAAAAAAAGCATAGCCATCCAGCCAGAAAACATTTCTTATAGTTCCAATTAACGTTGATTAATCCATATTCCAACAGTGCAAAGTGTTCAATGCATTTTCTTACACAAGACAAGATCTTCTCACAGCAAAAAAGTTACGGAAATTTTGTATGTATTTAATCATTTACCTGGAAGAAAATGTTATATGTTCCTGTTTGACTGAACATGTAAAACTCCCAATGTTCATAATGTGTAGTGCTTGTTGCCTGATTAATGCCTAAATGTTCCACTCAGCATGCATATAGAACCTAACTGGTAGAAATAACCTCAGAAGAAAAGGCATATAAAGTATTGTGTTACATTGGTCTGGATGATAGAAGTTTGATCTTGATTCTAATCTGCAAGATATGCACCAAGAGCTCTGTGCACCAATACCTTAATTAAAGAAGGAAGTATGGATTTTTAATATAATTTATTGTTATTATTATTATGTGAATTATAGAATCAAAGTAAAACATCCAGCCAAGAAATGTTAACTCAGTTTAGAATTTAGATTTCTATTTTCCCTTCCAGGTTCTTACATTATACCAGTTTGTATCTATCTCTATTTATTCAGATTCGTAGACAACTGTAGAAAGAAAGTTTGTTTCCCTTCACACTGATCTAGGAAATCCATTTGCACTAGTGTACATTAAGAGAGCAATCCATTCTTAGTAATGATCAGAGTAAGCTGTTGCTGAAGTAAGAACATCAATCAGGTATTTACAATCCATATAGAATGCATAAACATAATTGAAAACATAATGGACAGGTACTTAATGTAAGCTCAATCCATGAAAAGCTGAGAGCAAATCATGTTTCGTGGAATTTTTCAGGATTGTGGGGTTTTTTGTTTTGTTTTAAATAAGAGAAACTAAAATTCTATTTAATTGGTGTATTAAATGATGTGCTGTAGTAGAAGGTATACCAAACCAAGTTCCTTTCTCAAATGCAGATCGTTTAATATTCTTTCCCTGTGTTACTTTGTGACATGCATATTCAGTGTGTCTTCATCTGCACTGCTAAAATGGTTTTTTTGGCCAGTGGACCAGTTAAGAAAATTACATACTTAATCCATAGGTCCACATATAACTGCAAAAGTTTAGAAGGACAGTAATATCACAATGCTTTTTCCCTTCTTAACTGGGAAGCACAAAAATGCATGGTTGGAAGGGACAGTCAGGCATAATAAGAGTGCAATAAATAAACAATAAATAAGGTATACTTTCTAATTAAGAGCTCCTTGTTCTCACATTTCTTAGCGAGGTGACAGTGATCCTGTAAGACACTGAAATATATACTGTTGAATGTAAAACATTTATTGTGTTATGATTATTTCCAATGTCTGTCATGATATGCCCTGCATGTTCTCCAAGACAAAGAGCCCATGGAACACAAAACACTCTACAATGATCAATGAAGAAAATTCCTAAGGAGATAAATGGCTAGATAGCATGCAGTCTTTAGAATCAAAGAAAGGATAGCCATAATCATTGATGAATAATTTTTCTAAAGATAAAACAATTGGAACAATACTCAGTAAAAAAAATGAGTAGCTATTCTGAGCTAAAAGTCCCATTTAAGTACTGATTGACAGCCTTGCACTATAGGACATTCTGAAATGGTAATACAGGGTGCAGTTAAGCAAGCATTACATTGCCTCCCATTTAAAAGCCGCACTGTTTTTCTCAATCAAAAATATTTATATGCATCCAGCAGATGTATTGTCTGATAATATCTCATAGACAGCAATAGTGTTTCTGCTCACAGCAAAGCTGGTAACAAATAGAAAGTTATTATAACAAAAAATTAAAGTACTGCACTATTTAAAAAAAAAAAATTATCTGTACATAAATCGCTAAATCCTCAACACACAGATAGCCTTCCACAATCACATCCAAAACATGCTCAGAATATAGTGAGCTGTGAGGCAAAATATGAGAATTTACTTTTTAGTAGCATGTCAGCAATAGCTATTAAAGTTATTATTTCTGATATTATTTTAGTGGGAAATCATAACACCATTCATGTACATAAGTCAGTTCAAACATGCCCCGTCCTGCGCCATTCTCCTTCCCCTCCTTTACACTAGACTAGATTTAGTACACCACTGTTTGTGTGAGTGAGCATATGCAATTCAAGCAAATGCTACTCATTTAAACTCAACTTGTACTTCACTGCGTTGCTAAATGCAAATATTAAGGAGGTGAAGAAATCATTACAAAGATTGCATGCTTGATTTTGCATGGTAATTGAGTATATATAGACAGCCAATTCATAACACATATTCTTAGGAAATTATGTAATTCACCATTCAAACTAAGACACTGGTAATCACTTCATTGGTTACCTTGTGGAGCATAATATTTTATCACTATTCCTTTGGCAAGGATAAAAAGCTTTCACTAAAAATTAAGGGAAGACATCCTACTTTATGTGACGGAACTCAGATCCAGCCCCAGGCACTAGGACTAATGCTAGGTTTGAGAATACCATGTCAGCTGTGTCAGACCAGGTGACAGATCCCTGGCCTCCATTTATAGTTCAGAATAATTCAGGGCTGTAACACATGCAGAAAACCAAGTAGATGTACTTCTAATTATTTGAGTGAGTAGCTCAGAGACACTAGCAATACCTACATGTTGTAAAGAGCTGAGAGTCAGGACTATTTTCATACTATTTTCGTAAATGTTCATTCCTTTACCTGTTAGCCTTTCAGACAGTAATAAATGAAACATCAATATCAAATCCTCTTTTTTTTTTTCTAGAAAAATTACATTATGAAGTAATTTCTGCAGAATTAGATGCCCAATTTTTTTCATGAATAAAGGTTTTAGAGCCATTAGATAATACTGATTGCAGATGGAGGAGGCTTTGGTAATCAAGCTGACATAAAGAAGAATATATAATCTTATGCAACAGTTCTATTACTCAAGATTAGGTATTGTTAGTATAATTATTGTTATATTGCTGCTATAGCATGAATTGTCAATATAAAGCCTTACTAGAATAACATATTCCCACTCTATTTAGGAAACATACAGGAAATATTCTAACAAAATGCTTATCTATGAGTTTGAGTACCTATGTAAATACAGGGGAAGGCAAAAGCAGATTAAAAAAAATCCTGATATAATTCAGAGTTTACACAAAGAATTACACATTTCTACGGCGTCCTACTACTCTTTCTGGTAAGAAGCTAGCTCTGTTAAATGACATCTAAGACAGTTACATTTGTTTCATACTCAAGATAGACTCTCAGAAAGTAGTATACAAAATTAGCTTGCTGTACAACAGTGTGGTGAATAATTTCACCTGCTTAACAATTTCTCATTTACAATGTGTACTTACTTCTAAATGTAAACGGACGGAAAGTCAATGCATCTTAGCGGACACGTTGACTCATTCATGGCTTAGCTGGATTTGCTAGCTGTCTGTGGCTTTTATTTCCTTCTGTGTATTTTTGAAGGCTAACTCAATCAGCATACTGAGGTGAAGTACTGATCTCTCGGGGAAATGATTTCCAGTGGGCTGAACAACATCTGAAGAGAGAAAACAATAAGGGTTGGTCTTAACCTGAAGAAATACAAAAATTTCTATTGGAACTTCAAAATTATTCGATTTTCAAAGGTGCTACTTCATATTTTCAATTTTTGTTTGTTTGAATCCACAAAGTATATTCCTAGGTACTGAAGATATTTGGCAGCAAAAAAGACTTCGGTGCTGGAGGGGAGGGGAAGGGAGGAGAAGGGAGGGGAGGTATAATTACATTTATTTTGCTATTTTTTCTGAGTAGATGGTTAAGAGAAATCTGGACAGAATTGATTGTTAAACTTAGTATTGCAGAAGATTACAGTATCAGAACTCTACTATTTATAGAAATTATTTTGAAATTTTGTTCAGACTACCATTCTACTTACAGATTTAAAAATATAAATGAATTATTATAATTTCAACAATCTGTAATTAAAACCAGCACTGCCTATTTTCTGCCTCAAAAGAAAGTAATCTCAAAAATCAAATGCTGCCTATTTAACCATCTACCATATAAAAGCTTAACAATGTTTCAGTACTCAAACAGAGTATTTCTTTGCAAGTTTTTAGGATTTTGTTCTTTAATCCAATTTCAGTGGGTTACAATTTATGTTACCTATGTAAATTTCACGTCACATGGAAAAGGCAGAACACATTGGAGGCAACCGTCTTTCTCAGTATAAAACAAAGGAGCACATATAATCATGTGTTGCATATACTTATCTTGTGTACACTGAGAAAAATAGAGCTCAAAGGAGCCAGAGTATGATGATTTGTATGGTCATTATCTAAACTATAAATTATATGTCATGTCAAAATAGCCACTGAACTTAAAGCAGCATTAAAAAACTTCAGCTCTGGTTCCAAATTTTTTGTAAGTAAAGTGAAAAGTGTTCATTTCCAGATAACCTGGATTTTTACATATCAACAGTGAAGTACACCTCAGTTGGAAAACAAGCAATCTCACAGGGAAACTGAGGCCTACTTAGATGAAATGTACAAGCATCTAAAATTTATGATATACATAACTATCTTGTATTGGAATTATAGTACCATACTTTCAATAAATTCTACTTTTTTTACACATCGTGTTTTCTTAAATGGAAAAAATCAAGGGTGCTCTAAGAACTGTAGTTTTAATTAGGAATTCTCTTCTGCTTATCAGAAAATGAGTTTTGATAGTATGAAGGCCATTTTGAAAATAACACCTCCTACTTCATTATGTTGGGCCACATTGGGTTGAAACCTTCCCAACAATAATCCATTCCATTTTGTTGCTGTGTGACAGATGGCAGCAGAGGGACAATCTGACAAAATGGTGTTTGACTGGAAGTGTGTATGAAGTAAAGGTGTGTCATTCAGTTCCTCCATGTGGAAAAAATGGCACCCATTGACATTCACCAATACCTTGAGACCAAACAATGACATGAAAGACAAGCCACATTCTGGACAGCCATGCATATTTTACAAGCACAGCGTACAGACTTGTTCATTGCTGATGAAAATGCAAAGCTACTGATGGTAACTATGTTGAAAAATAGTGTTTTGTAGTTGAGAATTTGCTCTATCAAATAGTGTTATTGTGCTCTTGGTATTTGCTGTGTTCTTCATGGAAATAAACAGGAGGCATTACTTTTGGAGTGACCTCCATACGATGAAAGCCAGCTTTTATCTTCTCAGTCAAATGGATTTCAGTTAAGCAGATGGCTCCTACTATGTTGTTTAGTGGCAAGACTGCAATCCAGAAGAAATATATCAATGAAAAGAAAGAGATAACACGAAACTAAATAAGTTAGTTATATATCAGTATTACAATATGAAACAGTAGTTTGTTCTGTTGCACAGTATCTACTACAGCGGCTTTGGCTGCTAAATACTGCTTAATACAAATAGTAAGAATGAGAAAGCGAAGTAGCTGTGCCGAGAACATACTGGGATTTCACAGTACCAATACGGAGACTTTGCACAATCTCAGGATTTGTTAACACGTAGTAATCTCACAGGTATATATATATGAAAGAAAACCATGGCATGGAGACTACACTGATGTACCATTTACTTTCTAAAGCAGAAAATAAAAAAAATTTCTGTCCCTCAACACTAATTATAGACCCTACGGATCTTGCACTGTCTATATCAACTTCATTTCTTCGTAAAATTTTGAGTCCCAGGTATTGACTGCTAAACTGTTCCTCAAAAAATGCTGAATTCAATTTTATTAACAATATTGACTCACATTTAAACTGTCTCGTGCACCATACCTCACTGTAATTCATCACTGCTAGTTTAAATGTTTTCTATATATTTACTGCAATAAAAATTCCATTGCAATTAAGAATATTTCAATATTACACTCAAAATCATCAGTTTTAATTGTTATCTGGGAAATACAGGCTGTTAATTCTGTATGATAAGCTTTTACATAGCCTAAACAATTTATTATAATGAATGTTTCAATAGGTATGTGATATTGTTTTTAATGGTATTAAATTATTCAAATTTATCGTAGTCAACATGACCTTAATTTATTGTAATGCATTATTATAAGGTAATTGCTTTCCATATATTCAGTATACATCTTGATTGCTGATTACATTCAGTAGCTTTTCTATTTCCCATGGAGCCTGGCACAGCTCAAGCAGTAATTGCAAGTGCTAATGCAGTGTTCTTAGACAGTTCATTCCTACATTTTAAGAGAGCGTGGAAATGTTTTCTTCCCTAACATTTTCTCCCTTTTTTCCACAGTAGAAAAAAGTACTTTGGTTTAGGCCTAAGAAAACTTTTCTTTACTTTGGGATTGTGATAGCATATCGTAAAATATTTCATAAAAGTATGAAACAGAAGGACAACAACTGACAACAACTTGGAAGACACCTTCCACCCTGTCAGAAATTAAAAATCTGCTACCGAGTCTTATTCTGAACTGAATCTAAATTATATGATTCAAGGATTGGATAACCAGATTGATCTCCTGGTGACATGCATGAACTTTTTATTATTTTATATCAGTATCACATCATATGACTGCAAAAAAAAATTGTACTTCTCACTGAAATATCCTCTGCTGGTACAGAAGCAGAATATTTGACTTATGGTAGCTGCTTCAAGTAATTTATTAGATCCAATATCATATTATTCTGAAAAAAAAAATAGTGTTCTCATCTGATTAAGTTTTCTGTAATAAGGAGAAAAATTGTTATGTACTTAACAAAATATTAGAGTTTGGTACATTACATGCAGCTACTTAATGGATTAACAGCCTCTGCTTAATTTAACTTTGGATTGTCCTTAAAGTCTAGATTAATAATGAGACATCATTTTACTTTTAACAGTAGCAATATAAGGTAGATTAAGGCCACGGTTCTTCAAGACCTCATGACAAAGACCATATGGTCTACTCAAAACTAGTGAGATAACCTATGTACAGATGTCAAACTGTGGTTGACAGGAAAGCTGTAGGTTGTATTCTAGCCTCAGTTACAGTGGCATAAGAACCTTATGTTTATATCTGTTATGTTAATTTAAAAGCTGAAAACATCTCTCCTCAAGCTGTAGTTACAGATAACTTCCATTTTTCACATAGCTATAGTTTTCTTCCACTAGAGTTATCCTTTTGATACAGGACACAGCAAGAACAGCATACAGTCGAGAAAGAGATTACAAACCTAAGCAGGAAGTAAAGCATTTCCACATCAAATATTGAGTTTCTATTATCCTACCATTCTCAAGAATTTACCAGTGCATGGAAAAGATTTTAAGTCACGTATCTGCCTCAGGGATTGACACTGACAAACTTAAAAGTATTAAAACTACAGCTGCAGGATGGGCCACTTCTGCTTTTGGCACACCTCTGGAGGTGATGGCTCAAGGCACTAGGTTCTTGCACCTCTTCCTACTTCACTCCTTTTTTTCTCAGGTTCAGAAAACTGCACTGTGGCTACTTTCTTTAAATGTCTCTGTGAAAGAGATGTATGATTCCTTGATAGCACCTGGAGGAGTTAGATTTTAAAGGAATGGAAATTTAAATGCATTGAAGATGTAAATAGAATGCCAAACTACCAATAGACATATGAAAATGCAATTCAATAAATTTCATTCTGAATTGGCTCCAAAGCATCCAGATGCATCTGTAATCCTAGCAGGCAAAGTTCATTTGAGAGCACAGATATAATGCTACTTTTATAGAATAACAACTCGGACATCAAAAGCATTAAAACCATTTAGCGTAGAACTTGAGGAAATTTTTACAGAACAAATTTCAGCATTATATAATTTATCTTAGCTTTACTACTTCCAGAATCTGAACAGATTTGGAATACATAAGCTCAGTTTTTCCAGAACTTCACTAAATATCAAACTTGCTGCCGTGTGAGAGTTACAAATATCAAATCAGACCATTTAACTCTTATATTGACACTTAAGAGAACAGCTGTTCTCTCTCATCTGTGCTAAGAACCCGATGATTAAGATTACTTTGCCATAACCATAGAAGCATTTTTCGATACATATGCTGTTTCTTGCCAGCTTGATTTAAACTAATAACAAACACGTCTTTATTTGCTACATGCTATTCCTTGCACTGTAAACTTTGTAAGCAATATATTCTGAAAACAAACAAAAAAATACACACACACACAAAAATCAGGTAGTGAATATACCAATATTTTCCCTATTTTTTTTCCATTGCTATATTGTTTGACTTAAAGTGAGGTCACTACTTGCTAGGACTCTATTCTCTGCTTAACCTATATAAGGAAAATACCAAAGCTTAGTAACAAGCACAGTACATTTGTCACAGGTTTTGATAACATCTAACAATTATTCTTAAAAAAAAAAAAAAAAAAAAAAAATCAACACTGATTTGCTATGAATGTAACCTTCTTGATGTTTTAAAGCAATTTATAAAACCATAAACAAAATCTCTACACACAGAACACTTGAAGTTTGAATGAAAGTGAATGTTTCACAAATAGGCTGCAGATTAAATTTGAATGACTGCTGATTTTTT